TGAATATATGGATTGAGTTGGTACCTTCCTCAAGCCACAATTGTGTGCTGATTTCTATTTATTTATACTCACTCATGTTCTGAGTCTGTAAATTAGATTCGTAAGTAATTTATATGTAAATCAAAAATAGCAAAATGAGTGCATGAATGGGAGTAATATCAAGGGTACTACACACCACAACACTTCTTTGTCAGAAAAGCTAGTGAAAATTTAGGCCTTATTCCAATTCAGGCACAGAATGTGTCCATGTTTGCTCTGCATTGCACATATTTTTCAGATGCTGTTAGCCAGCAGCACAGAGCAATTTGTATCCCCAACGTTATTTTAGATCGCTGGCCAGAATTAAAGTGGAGGGAAAAGTGATGAAAAACAGTCACCTTTGTTCTCTGCTCAGTCATACTTTCTTCAAAAAGCATTCAGTCCAGCTGTCTCACATCTCCACAGTGATATAAATATTCCTAGCCCCGTTGGATCATATTCTTTAACTACAGATCACCCACATTGTTATATCCGGTCCCCCCACTGGTTCCTATACACACTGTCTGGCTTGTTGGGTCTCATATACCTAAAATATCTCTTGCTTGACACATTATCATGATTTCACAACCAATCTTTACCAATCACACAAAATCCTGAGTAACTATACATTATTATGCTTTTGGGTATAAACAAAATTAATATTTCTTTAAGTCAGTTAGAATGTCTGATGTTGGAGTAGGTGGAGGGTGCTTGCTTGTTGGATGGGAGGAGGGGCACATCTATTTTGATTCTTTACATTTCATATCACAACATTGATTTTTAATTGAGCATCTATCATAATTTGGCTATTAATTTTTATGATTAAACAGAAAATATTCTAAAAGTCTTTTACAAACTTTGATATTCTGACACAGCACACATTAAATCTAAATTTGTAGCTCACTTCCCCCTTATTGATGTAATGGAACACGAGGAACAAATCGCTAAGCATTGTTAACAGATTAGGTAAATCAGGAGATTATCAGCAAAGCGATATCTTATTTTCCATTAGTGAAATTTAAATTCTAATTTTTGGTCTGCCCTTAATGAACTGAATTTAATGAAACTTTTTCTTTTTGGTTTAAAAAAAATGTTCAAAGCAATGGTGGGGCTCAGCGGCCATCCGTTTAAATATTAGGGATAGTCTCAATTATTTTAATTGCATTTTAGTCCTGTTCAGCAATAGTTTGGGATCACCTCCTTATCAGTAAAATAAGCATCTTTAAGTACAAATATAACATTTGTAAATTTGAAGCTGGAGAACGTGTTTGTCAAAGACTCTAAAAGTCAAGAATTCTTTCAATGATATGATGTGAATTTCTAGGTAAGGATCTGTTGATCATGTCTAAGTTAATTTAATGAGTTATTCAATTCAGATTAAAACCTGCAAAAGGAAGCTCACGTTTGAAAACCAGTGCCACAATTTGGATAATAACCAATGGGTCCTAACCACCTCATGTTTTATAGGCTAATGATTTCTCACAGTAAAAATTTGTGGAAATTTGCAAAGAGATAAACTTGTTATGACATCTAGTGGTACTTCCCTACCAAAGCAAAATATCTCAATATTTTGCAGAAAACTACACTAACATTATTTTAATGACAGTAATACTGCATTACAAGTACAAATTAGCTCAACTGAAAATAATTTCATTGCATGAAACACGCTTCCTTGTTAAGGGACAAGAATAATTAATATAAGTCACAACTTAGTGATAACAATCATTAACTTATGTTGTCCATTTTAGAAATAATCTAGAAACAGGTTTTGAAAGGGGTAATAATGTGAAAATATTATAATACTGGGTTCCAACTAGTAAATGTAAAGAAACCTACATTATGCTGTATTTCAGATAAGTTCTTCTTGCTCTGTCAACATATAAATAAGGATAAATTTTAAAAAAAACTAAAAGTTGGAAATATAAATAGAATGTATATGAAATACAAAGTAGGTATGTCTCTACCTGTAAAACAAAAGATGGGCTGATGTCTTGGTTACTGACTTTGTGAGAATTGTAACGGCTTTTTTGTATAACTGGAACAAAAAGTATGCCACAATCAAAGTCAAAACAGGACTTCTGCAAACCTGGCATACCTGGCCAAAAATATTTGGAATAGAAAGTGATCACTCTGCTCATTCATCAGTATTAATTACAATTAAGATACATTAAGCAGGCAACTCATGAACTACTTGTCCCAACATCCTTGTAATTCAATATGCTGATAAGGATTTAGTCATTGAGAGTTTGAGCAAGGTCCCACAGAGTTGAGATGAGTTCTGTCACTTTAGGTTTTGCTGAGTTCACAAAATACTCCAACTATACCATAGCCTGAACCCACATAATTCACTGGACTTTGAGATGAAGTTTATGTTAATCAAGTTTCACTTTTAACATGTCCCATGTTGTTTATCATTCCTAGGCCCAGAGGGAAAGCAAGTATCCTTCTCATACTCATGTACTTAAGACAATCTGTGTTCCACTGCTACAAGATGCATCATATAGATCCAGTGTAAATTAATTGCCAATTTTCTTTCACTGCATAGGAGGAAAACAAGGGTGGTGAGTGTACTCTGTAAATAATACGGACATATTTAAAGACTAATTTGAAATGATCTAGGTACATTAGTCAACTTAATGCATAATACATAAAATGAATGCAGAGCAACCATCAGCAAAATTAATAGAATCGTGAGCCATATCGTCAAATAAGGAGAATTATAGTTAATGAATTATATTATAATTAGTTATTAATTATAATTTAATTAAACTTAATTATAATCAAATCATACTCCTATGGTCAAAGCACAAAATATTCACTTCTGGTTGATACAATATATGCGAAGTATTCAACAAATGCACAGAAAGTGACAAGGTTGATCCCTTATCTTAGATGCCGAAGCAAAATGGAAAGACCTGTGCTTTTCAGCATGGAAAGGAGATGTGTAAACTAGCCAAAGGAGTGGAAAAGGTTCATTCAGAAATGCTACTAGAATGGGGTTCACAAATAAGACACAGGAACACAGATTCAAACTTGTGAAGGTTAATTTTAGGACAGATATCAGGAAATTAGTTACAGAAAATATGATTGTATTAATAAAAGGTTATAAATATCTGAAGGGTTTTGGAACGATTAGAAAGGCATTATTTAATCTGACTGGTGTGTCAGTGCTGAGCCTGCAGTAATCTGAAATCATAGAACCAGAATGATTGATTGTACTGTAGAGAAGCAGGCCATGCAGCCCACTGAATCTTTGCTGGCTCTTTCAAAGATCAATTCAGTTACCTGGAACTGTAATCCCTTATTCTTTCCCAATATCCCTGAAACTACTTCTCCTTCACGTATTTGTCACATCCCCTTTTGAAGACCTATTAAATCTGTATCTTCATCCTCTGTGAAAATATTTTCCTTCAAGTCGCCATTGGATCTTTTGACAATGATCAAATTATTGTTCCTTTAGTCATCGGAAACAGTATCATTTTATTTTATTTGACCTGTGTTCTGATGAATATTCATGATTTTTTATTATTGTTTGGAAACTTGGGTTCTACGATGGACAGAACCATATGTAGCTTCAAATTTGACTTGTATTGTGTGGGTTAAGGAGGGAATGACTTAGTTTCATTCTTGAGTTCTGTTGGTGATACCGGGATATCTGGAAATTTTAAAATCTGAAAACGACCAATTCAAGATGGTGGCAGTGGCAGTGAAGAAAGTGTTCACACTCTGTGCCTGTATGGTCCTGCTCCAGCTCCCTGGCCGTCCGCATTTTTCTTTCCTTTTTTGTTTTGTTTTCTTCACTTTGTCATTTTCTGTTTTGTATCAAAGTTCAACTTTTCTTTGTTACTGCACTGCGGTGGGGGAAGGTGGTTGTGAGGGTCTGCTGCGGTGGCAGCAGTGTGGTGGATCTGGATGTCCATTCCTTGAAGCCAATGTAGCCATGGCTTTATCGAAGGTTTCATCGCCAGGGGATCTGATCCATTCCTCCTGGTAGCGGTGCGGCGGTTTCAGCAATGGCTATCGTGGTGGCAGCATGGTGGTTCCAGTTCGTTCCTCGCGACTGTGGCAGCTTCGGGAAATGACTGAAGTGGTGACGGCTTGAACGACGACTTCAGTGTCGGTGCCTTGGTGAGTCCGGTCTGTCCCTCCTTGCTATGGCGGTGATGCAGTCGGCATCAGCAGTGGCTGCAGTCTGAAAATCCTTGCTTTGGCAGCCTCGGGTGACTTTGGCAGCAGCATCCCACAGCCATTCTACAAGCCCAGGAGCATTGGAGGGAACTAAAGATCAACTTTGTCCTAACTTTGTCTCAATTATTTCTGTAAGATGCCACTGAATTGTGGTGACTTATACACATCTTATTTTCATAAATACAAGTGACAATAAATTGCTGTTCTATTTTGATTTGATCAAAGGAGACTTTTAAAAAAAGAGAATCATGCTAGGAATTTCACCACTAGGAGGTGCAAAGAACAGAAGCAAGCCAACATTAACTCTAAGCAATGGGAGCAGCTGTTTTCCTAAGGATGGCTGCCTTGTACAATCCACCACTCCCGCCACCCACCCCTCCTCCCTGATTCCCTTTTCTACTTAGTTGTTCTGTACAGACCCAATGGACAGACTGTGGCCCTTGAGCTACCTCATCAGACAGCCGTGGATAAGAAGTGCCCAGACCCTTGACTGATGGTTGTACCTCTCTTGATTCTGTTAGCCCAGACCACAGACGTGGTGCTTAGTGGCCAAGGTCTATAGTGATCCCTATTCAAGAATATTCCCAACCAGAGCCTGAAAGTGGCCAATCCCCTGGAACGGAATCAAAGGATCCCTTTTCTTACTGTGCCACGACCCACAAACTGATGGGTGCTTCCATGGATTTTGGTGAGGACCACTACCATAAGACTTTTAGAAGTGTCTGCTTGCTTCCTGCACATGCTTGGAACATAAGCTGCTGGCTCAGGTGAAGCAGTGTGATTCACATTGAACGATGTCATATAGCAAGATGTACACCTCCCTGACTGAGGACCAACTTGGTAATCTGGCTGATTATGTGACACTAATAGGCAAGGCAAAGCTCTGAGCATCCAGGTTGGCTGTCAGTGAGCAAATGCTAAGGAACCAAATTAAGTTTGTAATATATAACTCCATAAATATAAAAGTGGAGATTGTTAGTAGTCTTGACCTTCACTATCTATCTTTCTGGAATAGAACAATTAGTGCTGTAAGAATAGGGACCTGTAAAATTATGGTGAAGAATTGAGCAGTACAAGAGTTAAATGACCCTATGCTTTTCTCTTCAAGTCATTGTACTGCACTGCTTTCAACTGTCTGCTGTTTTCTGCTACAAGTCTTGCAATTATGAAAACTAACCATTACTGCTAAACAACAGACATAAATAACAGTGAGTGCAACTAGTGCCCTCATCAACTTCCATGAGAATTTGGTTAAATAAGTTGCTCGAATCTCTCTAAATGTTGACGTGTTAACAATCCCAAAATGTTAATAGTTCCTAACCTGGAAAGGCTATCAAAGCGTACAATAACATGTAAAATGCATACTTTGGAGAATGAAGACAGTAAGTTATATTGCAGACTCAGTGAGATGACATTTGGAGTACCGTATACAGCATTACCATCCTCCTTCAAAAAAGGATAAAATTGCATTTCAAGCAATTCAGAGGGCTCATTCCTGGGATTGAAGGCTTTTATTACAAAGGAATGCTGAACAGGTGGATCTATAACCATTGAAGACTAGAAGAATGAAAGGTGATTTCACTGAAACATAAGATCATTTGAGGATTGGATAGGAGTAATAATGGGGTGTGTGGTCAGTTTGCAGGATCTGGGGAAATGGTCAGTTTGCAGGGTCTGGGGTTTTGGTCAGCTTGCAAAGCCCAGTGAGTGTAGTCAGTTTGCAGTGTCTACTTGATTGTGGCCAGTTTGCAGAGTTTAGGGTGGGTGTGGTCAGCTTGCACGGTCCGGTGAGTGTGGTCAGTTTGCAGGGTCTGGGGTTGCGGTCAATTTGTAGGGTTTGGGTGTGTGTGCGGTCAGGTTGCAAGGTTTGGGTGTGTGTGTGCTCAGGGTGCAGGGTTTGGGTGTGTGTGTGCTCAGGGTGCAGGGTTTAGGTGTGTGTGTGGTCAGGTTGCAGGGTTTGGGTGTGTTGTGGTCAGGTTGTAGGGTTTGGGTGTGTGTGTGTGGTCAGGGTGCAGGGTTTGGGTGTGTGTGTGTGTGGTCAGGGTGTAGGGTCTGGGTGTGTGTGTGCGCTCAGGGTGTAGGGTCTGGGTGTGTGTGTGTGTGCGCTCAGGGTGTAGGGTTTGGGTGTGTGTGGGTGGTCAGGGTGTAGGGTCTGGGTGTGTGTGTGCGCTCAGGGTGTAGGGTCTGGGTGTGTGTGTGCGCTCAGGGTGTAGGGTCTGGGTGTGTGTGTG